GTCATTAAAAATCTCAAGGTGTTTCTCGAAAAGAGTAGGGGTGTTTCCCTTGCATCCTGGCCAAAATTCCCATTGGCCTTTACCATTCATGGCCTCCTAATAATCCCCATCTATGAATTGGTTTCGTAACTTTGTTCTCCTCCCCACTGATAGCTGGTGTTTGGTGAACGTACTAGAGCACTATAACTGCCGTTGCATCATCCAGGTTACACATAGGTGGTGGTGGAGGGGAGTCCCCATAACCAGTAAAGAGCTTTGGTTGGAGTGTCCAGAAAAGCACTATACTGTATAAGTGTAAAGAATTATTGTGAACTGTAGGGCTACCATAGTTTTTCCCCAGAGGACTCCCATCCAGGTACTGACTAGGCTCACACCTGCTTAGCTTCAGCGGGTTGCCAGTTGTGAGTTGCAAGGTGGTATGGCTACTGACTGCATTTTTTTTCTTGAGGAATTCATTCTGATAGCTGATAGCTGGAGGAATTAATTCTGACCAATGAGTTTTTTAGAAGCAAACTAAATTTCATCCAATAATTTCTTAAAAGAAGCAGGACTATCAATTTCAACAGTGTGATTGCAGAATTTGTTCCAGACTTCCATAACCTTATCCCTATGTGTATAAAAAAAACCTGAAGGAAAGTGGATTTCTGTAAATGGCCAGACTATATTCCTTATGTTGAAGATACTGTAAACGATGAAGCTGGGGATTTCACAAAATCTATCAATATATACATAAAATCCCAGGTAAAATATTTAGGGAGTTTTTGAAATCCCTAGTTTCAGATTTGTACCAGAACATTTCCATTTAGTATTACACTACATTGGTAGTATTGACCAAGCAAGTTTTTTTTCTCTTTACCCAAAAGCTTCCGACTGATGCTTTCAGAAAAGTCACTTCAAGTTCAAAGTGAGCTCTAAAGTTCAGACACCATTAATGTGAGCCTGGATTTTGTCAGTAACCTTCCTGCAGTGACCTCAGTGAAAATAATGTTCCTGACACTGACCCCTTGAATGTTATTGTGGAGCCGAAAGAGTGACAGGCTTGATGTACATTTCCAATCAGCCATAAAATTACAATTATATTCCTTTAGCTTATTTACAGTAAAATCTATGTCATGCTTACTAGTGGTATATTGTTAGAGATGTATATATTTAGAATATTGTATATTATAATACAGCTCCAATAAAACAAAATTACAAATGGATTGTCTCGTGTCAGGAAAATCATCAAATAGTGTGATTCAGAGGAACAGAGGATAGCTTGCAAGGTTTTGTTTGA